AATGTAAACAAGAAACCTCTCACGAAGGGTTCGTAAGGCGTAACTAACGACGGAAAAAAACCGCGGTGCTCTTCCATCGCTGTTGGGGTCTGTTGCTGAGATAATTATAATATACCCAAAGCCGTATTCTATCTGCTTAGGGGGGGACTACTTTCTGTAGAGACTATTGAGAATAAGTCCTAAGGATCTCGGGTTGGCCAATCCTAGTGGCCAGGTGTCGATCAACTTGGCGGTGATTGGCTTGGTGACAACCGTGTACCTGGTCCGCAAACAGACGCGATGCGGATAGGGTTTAGGGTAGGAGGCCCCAAGATAGTTTTGAATTGCTAAAGCTAGAAATGCTACCAGCATTCCACGAAGGTAGAGAGAATGCAAACAGTTTCAGTGTGGACTATAACCCAGGATGTTGGCAACTGGTTGACTGCAAGCTTTTTTTTTGGGGAGTGCTTGAAGCAAACCGCAGCCCAGCTGAGGAAGAGTGCATTCTTGGCATTCCGGTGCTTGAAGGGATTGCGAAGGACGGGGATGTAGTTTGTGGTACAGGGTCTCGGCTCGAGCGATAGACGTGTGGGTGGATTGAGGTTCATGCGGCAGGTTAAGCTTCAACACCTGGAGGTCGCTGTTGATTTTGTGAGGAGGATGGTCTTAGATGAAGTCAGGTCCCGAACGTAAATCACATTCACAGCCTTCAACTTTGTAGGCACAATCCCAAGTGGCAGGCTGACGCAGCATGAGACCCCAAAACCTTAAGAACTGAATCTGAATCTGGCAGATCTCAATGGGCCAACTTGTTGTCCGTCACATTCCCGGTGCCCCTCACGGTGGGCAGCTCAGCACATGCCATGTAGCCGCTTGACTTAGATCCAACAGCAGAAAGCAGTTGCCTTTCTTGTTTCATTAAGTTTCATCAAGTCTGATCATTCTTTGGATGAATTGGCATCGCTATTGACCGCCATTGTTAGTTGTCCCCATTATAACTACTATGTTGATTCAGTGCTAATCTTCTACCTCCTCGTCCTCTCTTCCCGTCCACATCCTCCAAGTTCCACTGCTGCCACGAAACATGATCATCACTGCCGTGGCCATTGCCACGGCTACCACCGCGCCCCGCTGCTGGAGCGCCGCCCGACCCGCCGCCATCGCCCACCCCACCACCAGCGCCGCCACCAGCACCACGACGACGTTGGGCAAGGAATATAGCTACCCCGGCTTTGTTGTTGTCATTCGCATCTGAGAACTGGAGAGGTCTATGCCGTGGATTGGCACCAGGCAGACGGCCAGCCCATCCGATTTCGCAGCAAGGACGCAGATTTTGGTCAACGAAGATTTGGAAGCTCCAGGGACGGAGGCTCATGTCGTTGACATTCATGTTCCGCTTCGATGGCGTCTTGCTCAATTCATGGGCTGTAGCTACGGATACCTAGCGCCCCTACTCAAGAACTGCATGCAGTTGACAGTTGAAGCCAAAATGGCTCACAGAAGTCAATTTTGGATCGAAACCTGTAAACCTAGAGCCCTTAACCCTTCATCCCAATCCCCACCGAGCCCGAAGCATTTCGAAGGACATGCCCGTTCAGGGCGAAGTGGCCTTTGATCCCTTTGCCATGATGGACGAGCCCCTTGGGTCGCCTTGGGATATTTCTCAAACCTCCGGGTCTCTGTTAGGGGTCCCTAGACAAGAAAGACTACTATAGGCCACTACAAGACATGCTTTTTCTGTGATTCAAGCACACGAAGATGTTCAGGTGAGTCTTCTCACGTCACTTCTTGAAGAATGCAAAAATTGAGTTTCAGAAAGGTTTCTTGAAAATCTGCACCCTGAGCCCTAGAGGCAGCCGGACAGCGCCTACACTACTGCCACGAGCTCAGACTCCCTCCTCAAAGGGTGGCAGCTTCCGTTCCTTCGGCAGTGGGGTTTTGGAGATACTATAGAGGTTTGCAGAAAGTTTAGGGGGTCCCAACAATTGGACCCAAATTAGCCGAACCACACAAATCCTACAGAGCCTAGCAGCCAGAAGAATCTGAAAGCTCTGCAGGTCCATCTCCGGCCCGAGTCGGGGCCCCACTCTTCAAAAGCTTACGGCATGGCTTCCCTCTTGTAAGGACCTGGTGGAATAGTGCTCGGAAAAAGGCCCGGTTTTGGCCATACCCCTGAAAGAGCTGTACTCGTTTCTTGGGCAGTTCTAAGTAGCTTGCGCAAGATTATGGCCAGTCTTGACTCGGACGGTCAAATTCTCCATCCCAGTCACAACTACCCATGGACCTCCAACCCTCAACCCCAAACCCAGATCCCAAACCCTGAAAGCCCCTTAAACAAACAAGCCGTGAATGAAGGCATGTGCATCGCTACGAGAAGTCGGAGCATGGAGAGCTTCAGCTGCTGCAGCCCTCCAGGCTAAGGGTTTAGGGATCATTGTTTTTTGTTCTTGAGATTTCGAGTTTTGCTGCTTTGGGCTTTGAGGAATGTTAAGACGTGGGTTTCATTGTTTCAGGGTTTTGCTTTTCAGGCTGCTCCCTCATGCGCTCTGAATCCGATCCTGGTTGAAATCTCACTAGGTCCATTTCTCACTGTCTCTTTCTCTGTCTCTCTCACTCTCTCGCTTGCTCCTTCTTCCTATATCCTGCCCCCGTCTTTCTCTCCAGGCTCAGATGTCCACCGAATCTTTATGGAACTCCCGCGAGAATTGCGTGGAGTCCTCCATGTGGTGAGGCAGCTCGAAATGCCCGGCATGCCCGTGTGGCAACCTTGGCATCCTTCCTTCACTGCAGGGTGAAGGTATGGCAGTTCTTTGGAGAATTTCGTCGGATTGGGGCTTCGGATGGATATCAATCGATGACTGAGATCCTTCTCGAAAGTGAAGTCCCTCTATCCAAAGTCTTGGAGTTGGGGAGATTTGGAGAGTGCGCAATGCATGGATGCATCGTCTTGATATTTCTATATGGCTGCGCTTGTTTACAAGGATCAGAAAGGTCTGTACCTCTACAAAGTGAGATCCCCCGAAAAGGTCAGACCTCCCAAAATGCCGGACCACTACCAAATGTGCTACATTGCGGGCAGAATAGAAATTTCCAGATGGACGCGGACGAACAAGGCTTGCTACAATCCACTACCACTAACGCTACATGCAGACAAAGTTTCCAGGTAGAAAATTTAAGGGACTTCTGCATGTCTCACTAGTTGCACTTGAAAATTGAGACGTCTTCCTATGGCAGTAAAAGGACCAGAATTCTGACTGCCCAGAGACCGGGGAAAACAAAAGACAGGAATGCAGCGAAGGGCTGAAGCACATTGCTGGGTTTTTTAGGGGTTATATAGGGGCTATATAGGGGATAATGGAAAAGAAAGTGGCAGCTACTATAGTATACTGAGGCCATAATAGTAGTAATAATTGCAAGGGCCCTTATTACTTATTACTTGGACATTGTGCCCACTCACCACCCAAGCTGGCCAGCCACTTCCAAGGCTGCCAGACATGGGGGCACGCACCCGGACAACGGGCTCTTAAGGGCTTCTGGTACCCCACATGCAGTAATAATAGTAATAGTAGTACTAATAATAATCGTAGTAATAGTAATAATAGTAATAATACTGAGGCCATCCAACTTGGATCCGGCACAGTTTAAGACCGTCATTGAGGCGGAGTACATCGGCTGCCGCGATCCCACGCTCGGTTTTAGGGTGTGCTTGGGATATATAACCCCAATATAACTCTAATGTAACCCCAAATAGCCCTAATATAACCCCCAATATAACCCTAATATAACCCCCAATATGACCCTGATATAACCAATACACCATAGTAGTTTCCATTTCATTTTCCATCATCCCTATATAGGGGGGAGTCTCTGGTGGGATAATGGAAAAGAAAGTGGAAACTACTATAATGGGGTTATATAGGGTATATATATATATATATATAGGGGTATATATTGGGGTTATATTGGGAGTCTGCCGGCGAGCGAATCTACTGCAGCAAGGATTAGCTCTGCTGTTGTCTCGCCCAGTGTTTATCTGGATCGTAGCCAAACAGGGAACCTACACTATGGCCATGTATTTTGAACAACTACCATCTGGGTGATTCATTATTGACGTGGGGACTTTCTTCAGCACGAACAACACACAAGGGAGCAGAGTGTTGCAGCTTGCAATCAGAACAGGAACTGCGAATTTCCCGGAGCAAGCCTTACGCCACTGCGTCTAAGGCGCCATAATCCATCATAATCCCTTTACAGTGCTTTCTTTCCTGCTCCTGATGCTCGCTCACCTTGTTAAAGCTGCACGGTTGCTGGTCGTTTTTTCAAGCAAGAGTGCACTTCTGCAATTCAGCATTTTTGTTAACGTTGTCCTGTCTACGTTGAGGATTGAACGTATTGGAGATATGGTTCTCGAGATTAGCATGGCCTGCGCGTAGCGATCATTCTGTAGCTACTTGTGCATTTGCCCCAGACCGCACAATCCTGGGCCCAAACTCTCAAGCCCGAAATCCAGTGACCCCACACCCTCAAACCCAACCCGAATGTGGAAGCCTGATATTTGTTAGTATCTTCCTCTTGTAACTGGTACAACCTGCGCCCGAAGACTATTCTACTTAGAGCCCTCCCTAATGCCCTGTTTGAGCAACTGGTGCCTGGATTTGTTGGGCTCAGGCTGTGGCTTTCCCTGGCCAACGGGCGGCAGGAAATTTGCAGGGGCCCTTGCGGCTACGGGATTTAGGGTTGGGGTTTGGCCAGGATCCGGAGCCTAGGCAAGATTGGAGATTTAAGCAGGGTTTCAGCTTGCGAGTTTCCTTCCGAGACTCCGAAGCATTCAGGGGCTGATTGACTTAGGGGACCATTTACAGAAGTAGCCGAGGGATGCGGACGGTTCTACCAACTACACTCAGCCCTAAAGGAACTTCTACCTACTCAGCCCCTTTGGAAGACGCACGTGTAAATATTGGCTGACTTGTTGGGGAGCCCTGGCTGTTTCTGAAGTTATCATGGCATCTGAGGGGCGATGCCTCCAAATGCAGAGCTCCCTTGTGGTCTGAAGCTTTCGGATAGACGTGTAGGTGTCGGGGCCCTCTGTAGCTGTCCCAAGATTTACCCCGAGAAAACGGAGACCTTTTCTGGAAAGCCATCAGGCCCAAAGGATACGGTTTGGCTTGTCAGCCCTGGTGGAAGGTCTACAACGAGGATTTCCTCGAGGCGCTTGAACGCGGCTCGGGCCCCAATCTTCGTGCATTGTGTGGGCGGGCCATGTGACCCTGTCCCCAACGCGACGTGTAGTTCAGCTTCTCCGAAGGCAGT